TGAGAATTTTTTTTGAAGTGTCGGTGTAGTACTTTCCAAAAAAAATTCTGGAACTAGTGGAATACCTAAAATAATTCGGGACCCAACTAGTATAGTACCTGCGATTAGCCCCTAGTACTCAGGACCCAATTCGGATGCGCCGATCAAAACAACTAAACTTTCTTTTGTATGGTTTATCAATTATATTTAGGTTCATCAAAATTAATGCCTATTTCTTAAAAAAAATATTCCTGTGATAATAATATCTCAAACCTGATTCATATTAAAACAACCACATAATTACTTCATATTAGAAAGGMAATGATATTATACTAACTTTAGGTAATTTATTTATAGATATATAGTTTTAATTTTTACTTTGTTAAATAATAACAAGTATATATTTTAGGTTTTAAGTTATTTACGTAAAAATTTAAAATGTAATGATATATACTAGGATAGGTATTAATAAAYACTATTGGGGGTACAGTAGCCGGGTAAATTTAGGCGTCGGTTGTGACGCGCACCGTCGCTGGTTCGAATCCCTGTCATGRCGGCATTACTTTCTGGTGAGAGAGACCGCAGCCCCTCACTCGGGCATTGGCAGAAATCTACGGGTGCCCATTAGAAATTCTTCCAAAACTACACACACGTGTACCAAAAACCTACCTAACCTAAAAAGAACCTACGGTACCCTCTCCACACACACCCATAGACTATGTTGTCGCGGATTTATTAAAAGAAAAAKAAAATAAATATTATTAGTCTTTTATTTTTTATGCCTAATTTTGAGCTTTCTCCAGCCGTCGTTTGCGTTGAGTGGCCGCCTCTCTCATTTTCCGGATAATTCTCCAGTATACTGTAAACATAAAGTTGAAAATATATTTTTATATTTTTGGTAGTTTATAAAAAACATAAGCATCTATATCATCAACCTCTTGATTTGTTTCAAGATAATTTTGAGAATGCCCAAGTATTTGAGAGCGTCGACCATTGATGTAAAACTCTTTATATGCTTACTGTTTTGTAAAAATCGGTGACCAATGTGGTGACATTGTGTTAACCAATGTTTCCGAGTCATTCATAAAATTTATGGAAACCGGAAAACTTTAATTGAATTAATAGAATAATAATTTTAACAGAATATTATTATGTCTGTACCGTAGTTACCGTATATAAATAARTTTATAATTAGGTCCGTGTCCCAAAATGACAACGGATTATTGTATTGTCATCCAAGACCAAGGTCTATACCAATTTTCAGAATTTTTCATCGTMAAAAAGTGCCTCAAATCGAGCGCGCAAGATTTGATTACAGACAAACAGAGGTGACAGCGACCTTAAGAAAAGTGTGTAAAAAAGAATAAACATGTCATTAAATAAAATTGTATTTTATTCCAAAATGTTTAACTCAACTCAACCTTTCAGTTTAAAAAATGTACAAGTAAAATCTTATTATAGTTGTTGTTGGTATAAAAGAATATATATGATGATTCACCAAGTATGCTCACCTCTTTTTTCTTCAATAATAAAGTTATTTTATATTATTTTTGTAATTTAAAGTGTATTTACTGAGCATACTTTCAAATTAAATTTTTCTTTTACATAATACTTAAGGAATTTCCTATAATGATATAAATATCAATTATTCAATAAAAAAACCAAGCATTTCAAGAGTGAATTATTTTGCGGATAATGCGTCTGTTGACGTATCAATCAAAATAAAACAAGTAGTTTTTGAAATATTAAATTTTGTGTACTGGAGATAATATGTTCATGGTATKGGATTYAAAAAATATATATGGGGGCRATGTTGATTTGAAAATTTGAGCGATCAATACAAAATATAGATCTAATATTAAATATATTTTAAAACAGTTTAAAAATATTTGTAAGAATTATAACATACACATTAATGTCATATTATTATTATATAAACATTTTAATAATTAAGAACTACTTCTTCGAATTTCAGTTTAGATGCCCTAAAATTAAAAAAAAAAAAAATACTAAATATAAATAATTTACATTATAAAACTGGGAGTTTCTATAAACTTAAAAATTATATGACCAYAGGCCACTCTTAAAGTACAAAAATTTTAAATTTTAAAATATAATATGAGTATATTTAAATATTCAAAAAACCAGAAACTGAATAAATTAAATGTAAAATGAAATTGAAAGAATTTATTTATAATCTAATTTTCAAATATAATTAATACATTTTAATGAAATGAAAATTAACTATAGAGTGGGAAAAAAATCTTTAAACAATTAATATATTTGGCTTTTTTATACCTTGTTTGTTTAAAAACTTGTAGGCGATGAGTGTAGAAATAACTGACAAAAGAAATTTGTATAAAAACCGACTATTGGGAATTCTCTTGTCATCTAGTTTCACTCACCTTGATGCAGGATTACGCATAATAGAAAATGCATTATACAAATGGTTCATTGTTAAGGTTTGTTGAATGTTTATTGGTTGATATATTTATAAAACGACGCACGTTTACATCGTTTACATCTTAATATTTTAAAGAATTAACTTTTTTTCAAATTTATATCAAATTTCCAGAATTTCTTCAACTGAAAATGATACAATACCAAAAATCAGATAATTATAAACCGATAACATTTCTCATTTAACTCAGAGKATAAGTCAATGGCAATTTTATTTGTAAAATTGTTTTACTTTATTCTTGTATAAGTCATATGTATGTATTATGCTACATAGATACTCGTATGTTATCTTCGGAGCAATTGGTCCATACGATATAAGATTTTCTGTACGGAATCATTACCAATTACAGGGGTTTTGGGTCTAACGTCTTAACAGTATTAATATATACGTCTGTAATAGAGTTTACTCGATTTGCTTTTGTTTACTTCTTGCCATGACGAATAAGCTATATAAGGATTTCAAGTRTAACCATACTAGTAAGAACAATTTATTATAATTATTCTCTGTCATAAATTACAAAGGTAATACATTTTGTTTGAAGTCAACGTTCATATTTTTATGTCATATATGCTATGATGTTATCTRCAGATATTATTTTATCTTCTGTCATCATTTTCTATTTTGTTTATTATTCGAGTACATAGAGATTTTACAATAGTACACATATATTGATAAAGTGAACATCTACGAGTGTTTTTTTATATAAAAAAATATGTAGGATGAAAGCTGATTTTTTAAATTTATTTATTTAACTTGATAGTAGATTGTGTACACTCAATAAACATCCCAAGTGGTAAATATTGATTGATTCGGTATTTCAATCGTATCTTATGTTTTACTGTGTCAACATAATACTTATAGTGTGCAATAAA